TCTTTATCATTTCCTTTTTAACCCAAGAGTAATTTAGTAATATATTATTTAGTTCATTTAGAATTTTAGGCTATTCTTTTGTTATCAACTTTTATTTCATTATGGTCAAAGAATATTGTCTACTATGATATTGAGCATTTGGAATTTATTGAGCCTTGTAATAATCACATATGGTCTATTTTTATAAATGTTTAATGTTTTCTCTAAAAAATAGTGGACTTTATTTGTTTGATATGTACTTATATATGTATCTATATAACTTGAGCTTATTATTTAATTGTTCATGTCTGTGTTGATTATTTGCTTGAGCTTTCAGTTTCTCAGAGGGGAATGTTAAAGATCACAGCTGTTCATTTATTTCTCTGTCAGTTGTTGCTTGATATACTTTAAACTATGTTAAAGAATACATACTTTTGATAATTATATCCTCTTGTTCTTATTTTTCTTATATTTTTTACTACATATGGCACATTTTTGCCTTAAATTCAATTTTATCTAATAATAAGATTGTTTTTCTAACTTTCTTTTGGTTCACTCTTACCTGGTATTTTTCATCCTTTTATTTCCAAACTGTGCCTTCTTGTTTTAAGAGTGTCTCATGTATGCAAAGTTTTGTTTAGTTTTATTATCCCCAAATGAGGGTTTTGGTCTTTTAATTGGCAAAATTAACCCACTTACATTTAATTACTATTGTATTAGGATTGACATATCTTATTTCATATTTTCCATTTACCATGTGTTCTTTTTGTTTCCTTTTATGTCTTTTCCTGGTTTGCATTGACAAGATTGAGTTTTCTTCCATTGGTTTAAAATATTAATATACTCATTATATTCTTGGTCTTATGGGAGTTACTCATTATTAAAAACACTAAAAATCACCAGCTGCGGTCCCAGCCATCATGGAACAGAGACAAGCCATCTCCACTGTATCTTGTCTGAATTCCTGTCCCACAGAACACAAGAGCATGAAAAAATGATTATTTTAAGCTGCTATATTTTTGGATAACTTATCAGGCAGCCGCAGTACCTGGAACAGGTTTTGGTACCTGAAAGTGTGGTGCTGTCTACAAAAGCCAAAAAATCTGGCAGTGTGTTTTGGGATCAGGTGGCAAATGGGACTTGGAAAGGCCTTAAAAACCCTCAGCAGAAGTTTGGTGATCTAGGAGGAGGCTGTTGATGAGGCTTAAAGGAAAGTGAGAAACAGGTTATTGGAAGCTGGAGGAAAAAACGTCCTTGACATGTAGTGGCAGAAAGTTTAGCAACACCATCACCTGTGATAACATGAGAATAGAAAATGTAGCAAATGGACTGGTGATACAGCAGATGAGATTTCTAGGGAGGCTTCTGAAGGTATTGTCTGGCTTCTTCTGGCCACTTAACTGTAAAATGTGAGAGGAGATAGATAAGTTTAAAAATTTTATTGAGTATAAAAGAGCCAGGACTTGCTGAATTAAAAACAATATAGTTTCTCCTTGTCAACCTCTCTGAGATTCTCCAATAAAGAAAGGATTTCAAAGAGACATCTAGGGTAGGACTGTAAAAGTCTTTATAAATACAGAAAGATCTAAGGCGTTGCCTTAGAGAACCATTCTGTTGGATACAGGGCCCTCTAACTTCAAGGATTTTAAGGTCAGTGTCCCATAGTAGCTTTCTAGAAACCCAAAGACATAGAAAAGCTTACCTTAAAAAGACTGGTGGATGTGGCCTTTATTCTAATGGAGAAGATTTTAAATTAATTCCTATGAAACCCGCAACTTAAAAAAATAATTATATTAGCTTGATCTGAAAGGGACCAGACAGTATAAAATGATGAGAGGCCTTTGAACTCCCCCATCCTTCCACAGGCAGGGAACAGGCTGCAGAGGCTACTTAGCTGCAAACATGAGGCACTTTTTATGGAAAAGGGAGGGTGACCCTGGGGATAGAATCAGGATCTCAAGAGACACAGCAAGGGGCCATGGTGAATTATTCCCGGAGCAGAATGGGAGTGCCTATTGTGTTAAATTATGCATGTCTCACCATTTTATGTTGTGTGGAGGGGTGGGAGGAGATAACTTGCCTTTTAGTTCATGCGTCTTCAGATTGAGAGAAGCTATACTTGAGGAATGACATCCCAGGACCCTCAAATGTACCATGACTGATTTAAATGAAGGCATCCTGGATTTAAAGGGGGTGTTGAGGCAGGGTGAGACTTAGGGGAGTCATATGGAGGGGAGTCATAGGGACAGGAGTATAATTTTCAAGTGTGGGAGAAATGGATTTTTGGAGCCGAAGGGTGGCCAGTGATGCCTTTGCTCCAGGATGGCTGTCATCCATTCCTTCTCTCCTGTGAGCATGTTATGCCCTCATTAAGAGATGGAGTCTATTCCTCCCTCCCTTGTGAATATCAGCTTGTCTTAGTGACCTTCTTGACCAACAGAATGTAGAAAAAATGATGTTCTGGAACTTCCAAGTCTAGCTCATAAGTAATCTTGCAGCTTCTGTCTTGGTCTCTTGGAATACTCTCTCTTGGGGC